AACCAAAGGTCAATGCATGTCTGCTACTCCGTGTTTCTGTCGCACCTGCTTGGTTTCGGACAAACAACCGTACAAGTTCGATTTTAACCAATGCCTTGCCGACCGTTAAGTGTAGTTTGAACGTGTGGTAAACTTTTCCGTAGTGGGAGTGGGCTTGCATATAGTGTGCCATGTTTTCTAAACCGGAGACTTCAGTGATGCTGGAGAATTTTCGAGCTCAACTTTATCTGCGTTCGCAATTTCGACAGTTCCTCAAATTACTGACTAAATTTGAACGCATCCCTGTGACCAGCTCTCATACTGCTCTCATAGTATGCCTCTCGTCCAATGAAAGGACTTGCTCGCTCTATGACGCGTTGAACCCAATGTGAGCAAATTACTCTGAATGCTGCGACGCAGCACCTGAGATTACTTCCAAAAAGTTGTTCACGTTCTCAATTTTTTTACGTTTAACGTTATATTCGTTCGGTATGGTACACATGTGTACCGAACCGAAGGGCACGTACCGAATAATTTTTGTACGTGTACCGTTACACCACTAATAAATATGTATTGCTTTTTACTTCACACGGCCATCGTTTTTGAAACCATGATACGAGTTCTACAAAGGATAATGTTGTCATAAAAGCAACCGTACAATTTTTTTTTCTGGGACAAACTAGAAACATAAAGGATTCATGGGTTTTCTTTACTGACTAAAAGAGTAATCTGTTCACACATCGCACGGCTCTAGGGAACACACAGGCAGACACCATTAGTGATCCATACACCAGCCAACAATCAGGACACTTTGTCTGCTGTAACAATGATGTTTTCCTCTGTAATGTGTTACAATCAGAAATGTAGATGCTGTTGCTTCTTAGGTTTGGAAGACTACACTGATGTTTAAACAGGTCCATTTATTAGGGCCCATGTATTAAGACTCAGTCCCCATGCGTAAGTCCCAGGTTCGAATCCGGCAGGGAATTTACGTTAATGCCGCCGTCTCCCCCTTTTAACACGTGGCTTTGAACTCCCACGAGTAACACGCTTCAAGTAGATCGGTACAAGGGTTGCCGATTTAAATATGGACAGCATTTATCTATAGCACCTCAGTCACACACTCGGATTGCACAGAGTTGGGATCAATTTGAGGTTGAGTGTCTTGCTTGGACAACCTGCCAACCTGCCAACCCGCTGAGCAGCAACAACAACAGCTGCCAAGATAATCAGGAAAACGGAGGGACATATTGATGTTTTCAGTATTAGACAAACTCACTTGATCACAAGCTCTGTTTCTTGCTGAGGGGAAGTTATACCATGAAATCCATTATGCCTCCCTTTAACACACTGCTTTACATTCACCCCTGTGGCTCGAGCATGTCTGGAAAAAAGAACTGTTTTTGCAGCTGCATATCTCCTTGAGCTATAAATAATCAAATTAAAAATGATCTGCATGTTGCTGTCTCTAAAAAAGAAAACGTTCATGAGGCTTCTTGGATGTTTTAAACTACATATTGTTGTTAGGTAACCTCCTCAGCAATGCCACATGACTCTACTGTTTGTTAATGGGGATCAATATCTTGATATGGTGTACAATTTAAAAAGAAATATAATGTGAAATGTTATTCTGCTCCTGGTACTAGGATGGGTTAAAAGCAGAGAACAAATGTCACTGTGTGCTGTGTGCTCTGCATGTGAGACCATTGAAGAGGGGTTCATCCCTCAATTCTATTCTATCTATATTTAAACATTGCATTGTAGTTTGCATACTGTTTTATCACAAAAGTGATTTTCATTGGTTTTGCCTTGGATAAAATAAAATGTGTAAATATATCAAATCTATTTCAGACGTATTATAATATCTGTAGTTTTTGGACATTTTAAATACAAAAACATGAATTTCTCTGGCTTTTGCGAGAATTCAAATGTTTGAATGATTCTCTTTTCAAATCTATTCATTTAACATACATCTGAATTCAAAGGGCTCCTATTATGCTATTTGGGGTTTTCTCTTTCCTGTAGTGTGTTCTATATGTGTGTGCATGTAAATGGTCTGCAAAGGCTACAATCCCAAAGACCCCTCCAGAGGGACTTTCTCTGTAGCCTCTTGCCACGCCTCATGCAAACTAGCATTGTGCACAGTGAAATGTATTATTTGCAGATCCTCTGCAATAAACAGTATTACTCTGCCATCCTTTCTCATTATTGGATCTTCTCTCAACTCTACTTTTGGATGTTGGTGTCCTTGCCAGGCCTGACACCACCCTCCTCTGCTTTACAACTGCACAAAGGGTAAAGAAAAAAAAGTGTCTAATAAGCACCCCATCCACAACCTCAATGTTACAAGCTGGAGATGGAGTGCCCTGGTCACCTGGGACACAATATCAAAGAGAGTCGGGGGGGCTGTTAT